AAAAAGACAAAAACTAAATACTATTATAAATTTAGAAGTGGAAGGAAAGAATATACAGAACCCAGCCGAGATCAGAAACTGTTTCCAGAGGTACTTTAAACAATTATATACACAAGGGCCACAGAAAGAAATTGATATAGATCGATTTTTGAAGATAAATGGATTACAAAAAATCTCTCAAGAAAGTAAATTAATGTTGAATTATAAAATATCTGAACAGGAAGTAGAAGGTGCCATTCAAAACATGCAATTAGGCAAATCTCCAGGACCAGATGGGCTGACTTCTAGATACTATAGATCCTTAAAGGAGTGGTTAGTACAACTGTAATGAAATATTGGAAGGGAAAAGGGCACCAGAGTCGTGGAAAGAAGCGTGTATTACACTTATACCGAAAACAGAGACTGAAAAGACTCAGCTTAAGAACTACCGCCCCATATCATTACTTAATGTGGATTACAAAATTTTTGCAGATATTTTGGCCAAGAGACTGAAAAAAGTGTTGATGGAAGAGATTCATAAAGACCAAGCAGGCTTTCTCCCGGGTAGACACTTGTCTGACAATTTGAGGAATATAATTAATATTTTGGAAAAACTAGAAGTGAATATCAACACTAAGGCAGTTTTGATATTTGTGGACGCGGAGAAAGCTTTTGATAATATTTCTTGGAGTTTTATGAAGAAGAACTTACAGGGGATGGGGGTGGGTGAAGGATTTGAAAATGGTATAGGTGCAATTTATTCTGAACAAAAGGCCAAGCTAATTGTTAACAATGAGGTGACGGAGGAATTTAAGATAGAAAAAGGGACACGACAAGGCTGCCCAATCTCCCCATTGCTTTTTATATCAGTCCTGGAGGTTTTGTTGAATATGATTAGAAGGGACCAGTTGGTTAAAGGTATACAAGTCGGAGCTAGACAGTATAAATTGAGAGCTTTTGCAGACGATTTAGTATTGACATTACAGGAGCCAGAATCTAGTACTAAAAGAGTTTTGGAACTGATTCATGAATTTGGTCAAGTTGCAGGATTTAAACTGAATAAATTAAAAACAAAGGTTTTAGAGAAAAATTTAACAGTGATTGAAAGAGAAAGGTTTCAGAATGAGACAGGTTTAACAGTGGTTAAGAAAGTGAAATACCTTGGGATTAATGAGACAGCTAAAAATGGGAACTTATTTAAAGACAATTATGAAAAATGTTGGACGGAAGTGAAAAAAGACTTAGAAATTTGGTCAAATTTGAAGCTTTCACTGCTAGGCCGTATTGCTGCGATAAAAATGAATGTATTGCCTAGAATGTTATTTTTGTTTCAAACATTGCAAATTTTGGATAAGATGGATTGTTTCAAGAAGTGGCAGAGAGATATCTCTAGATTTCTCTGGCAGGGCAAGAAGCCCAGAATAAAATTTAAAATATTAACGGATGCAAAGGAAAGAGGCGGATTTGCCCTGCTAGACCTTAAACTTTATTATGAATCAGCGGCCTTTTGCTGGTTGAAAGAATGGCTGCTTCTTGAAAACACAGACATCTTGGATTTAGAAGGTTTTAATAATGTACAGTGGTGCCCCGCAAGACGAATGCCTCGCAAGACGGAAAAACCGCTAGACGAAAGGGTTTTCCGTTTTGAAGTTGCTTCGCAGGACGAATTCCCTATGGGCTTGCCTGCAAGACGAAAATACCTTACGAGTCCTGAGATTTTTTTTCGCTTTTCCCCTTTATCTAATCTGCTAAGCCTTTAATAGCCTTTAATAGCCTTTTAGCAGCTAATCCCCTAAGCCTTTAAGCCTTTAATAGCCGCTAAACAGCTGATAGCGCTAATAGCGCTAATCCGTCAATGGGCTTGCTTCGCAAGACGAAAAAACCGCTAGACGAAGACTCTTGCGGAACGGATTAATTTCGTCTTGCGAGGCACCACTGTATTTGGATGGCATGCATATTTATGGTATGACAAGGTCAAAGCACATAAAGCATTCAAAAACCATATTGTCAGGAAAGCATTGTTTAATGTCTGGATAAGATATAAGGATTTACTTGAAAATAAAACCCCAAGGTGGTTGTCACCGATGGAAGCGAAAGCACTGAAAAAGCTCAATATGGAGGCCAAATGGCCGAAATATTGGGAAATTCTGGAACAAGAGGGAGACAGATTGAAACTGCAGAGTTTTGAGAAACTAAAAAATAAAGTGCGAGATTGGCTTCATTATTATCAGATAATGGAGGCATATAATTCGGACACAAGATCTACCCACTCTGGAAGAATGGCAGATGAAGGTGATTGACTACATGGAATTGGCGGAAATGACTGGCAGAATCCGAGACCAGGGAGAAGAGTCGGTGGAAGAAGATTGGAAAAAGTTTAAAGACTATTTACAGAAATATTGTAAAATTAATGAATGTTAGAATGATGTTGGATAGAAATTAAGTGGTTTTTAGCTGTAATACTATAAGGGAATATGAAAAATGGATTACGAATAGGTAAAAATTTAATGTTACAATATTTTAAGATTAAAGACTAGGATAAACAAAGAGGGGAAGGATTTGCTGAACTAACAAACTGAACTGGAATACAAAAAAGGGAGGCGCGAGGAGGTCCGGGAAACAAGCTAATGAAAAATAAGTATTGGAAAGATTGAGTTGTTTTTAACTATTTTTATTTTGTATTTTTATTTTCATTTTGTAATATCTTGAAAATTTTAATAAATATCTTTTTTTTAAAAAAGAATATTTGTGGTACTTTTATTTCTATATTTTTATGCAAATAAGTATTACTAAATATAAATTTTAAGAGAATGTGTGTGAGAGAGGGGGTGGGGAGAAAAGTCAGTGTGCTCCTTTCTACCTGGAGACAGTCTCCTACTGAAGATTAAAGTCTAGGATGCAGCTCTAAGTAATGAGAGGTGGGTTGGGGGACTAGTGCAGGGGTCTGCAACCCGTGGCTCCGGAGCCGCATGTGGCTCTTTTACACCTTTGCCGCGGCTCCGGGGCGGATACTAGCGAGGGGAGGAGGCGCATTGTGCTTCCCGACACTCCCCACTGTGGCGGGCGCTGTACTGACTGTGACGTCGCATGGGGGCGGTGCTTGTGTTAGTCACGCACCGTCCCGACGTCACCTTCCCGCCCGCCCGCTACATTGTAAGGGGCATGTACGCTGGTCACTGCATTGAAAGGGGCATGTACGCTGGTCACTGTTTTGAAGGGGAGTGAAGAACACACACACACACAAAAAGGTAACTTGCTAATTTAACGTTTATTTCTATGAGGAGGAGTAATTCTGAGGGGTCAAACAAAGAAATAATAAAAAAAAGTGACAAAAAAGTTATTTTTATAATGACGAGTTTTGCGGCTCCCAGTTATTTTTTCTTTGGAAACGGGTCCAAGTGGCTCTTTTTGTCTTAAAGGTTGCAGACCTCTGGACTAGTGAATTAATGCCATGCATATTAATGCCATATAAGAACATAAGAAGAGTCTTCTGGGTCAGTCCAATGGCCCATCTAGTCCAGCCTTCTGTTCTCACAGTGGTCACCCAGATGCCTATGGGAAACCCACAAACAGGATTCAAATGGTTTTCAGAAACCTTAGTGTCGGAATCTCCACTCGGCCAAGCTGATAAAGCTCATCTTCCGGCCGAGCCTTCGGAATCACCCTCCAACGAATAATTAACGACCTGAGCCTTTGATAAGGCCTCAGGGATGCTCCCCCATTCAGCAGAGAATCCAGCACAGGGAAGTGATGAGATTTATGGCTACATCTCTATGCTTTATTTCTTACTACGCAGACAACAAAGAAATATACATCCTCTCTCTATGAAAGCAGAGAGCAACTGAACAACAAAGGAACAAAGGAAACAGGAAACCAGTACGTCACATCCGTCTCTAGTCTCCCGTGAGACTTCCAATAGCCTGGACTGTCTCTGGAATGTAAACAGAGCCTCGTGACTCTAAGCAGCTGCTCAGTGCCAAACAGAAACTAACACTTAGCACCTCCAACTCTGGAGGCAGAACATGGCCTTCATAGCTGGCAACCATTGATAGCCATTGATAGCCATCTCTTCCATGAATTTGTCCAGTCCTCTTTGAAAGCCCTCCACGTTGGTGGCCCTCACTGCCTCCTGTGGGAGGGAGAGCCATACTTTAACTCTGTGCTGTCTGTATTGAATCTTCCAACAAGATGCCATAAGTAGTTTGAGCCTGGCAGTGCCCAGCCAAAGAGCCCGCAAGATCCTGGCACCTGCCCTGAAAAGCAGCCTCTGTTTCATTATTTTCTACAATCCTTGAGTCCATCCGCTTATCCTTACTGGTTTTCATCATC